CGGAGGGAGTGGAGCTGCGGCTGTGCTGCTCACTGCCTGCCCCGGCGCGGCCAACAGCTCGCCTTGCAAACAGCCTGGAGGGGACTTGCCCGTGGCAGGAGGAAATCTGCTGTGAAAGACAGTCATGCTAGGTTCCCAGCGCTCACATCTGCTCTGCACTCAGAGGCTTCCTGGCTGGTAATTGCTCTCTTCTCCTCTGTCTCCTGCTGAGGAGCTGCCAGGGGAGCTCAGTCACGTTCCAGAAGAGATGTCTCACTTAGCACCCAACACGAGCGAGGTTAACTGAGCACATGTTTGCAGCCCCTGAAGGGATGAAACATGACAACACAGTCCAGAGGAGACAATCCCTCCGTGCTCTGTTCATACTGATTAACCAGCATTCAGGCCCCACACTCCAAGGACCCTGAGGGGCTGGAGTGCATCCAAAGAAGGGCAGTGAAACTGGGGAAGGGCCTAGAGCCCAAGTGTAGTGAGGAGCAGCTGAGGGAGCTGGGGGTGCTGAGCCTGGAGCAAAGGAGGCTCAGGGGAGACCTTCTGGCTCTGCACAGCTCCTGACAGGAGCCTGGAGCCAGGTGGGGGTCGGGCTCTGCTCCCAAGGGACAAATGACAGGACAAGGGGAAATGGCCTCAAGTTGTGCCAAGTTTAGGTTGGACCTGAGGAACAATTTCTTCCCTGACAGAGTTGCCCAGGGCTGTGCCAGGCTGCCCAGGGCAGTGGTGGAGTCCCCACCCCTGGGGGGGTTTCACAGCCATGGAGATGTGGTGCTGAGGGACACGGGTCAGTGGTGGACTTGGCAGTGCTGGGCTAACAGTTGGATTTGATAACCTCCAAGGTCTCTTCCCACCAAAACAATTGTATCATCCTTGATTCTAATCTCCTTCACTTTATGGCTGCGTTAGAGAAAAGACACAGACCTAGTTGGCCCAAGGCAAGGCTGCAGAAGATAGAGCATACCCACAGAGCAGCAGCCAGCCAGTCACCCTGCAGCATGTAATCTGAGCAGCACCAAAAGGAGCAGCAGACATGGAAGACAGCCTGCAAGAACTGGAAGGGGAAGGTGGCCAAGTTTACACAGATGTGAATAGTTTTCCATACCAGCAGTGTCCTAACCACTGCCAGAGAACGTTCACGGATTAGCATTGCACCATTTTCCTTCATGCGTTTCTGCAAGAGGAAAATTGAGTGTTAACAGAAAAACTGAGGTGTGAAATTGCTCAGCCTTATGCTCAACCCTTCAATAGAGAGACCTGGCAGGTACAAACGTGTATTGATTGGAGAAACTAAAAGCTGCTGAAGCACAAAGAGCCCTGGCAGAACTGTTGTGTTCCTCAGAACATGGCTGGAAAGGTCCCAGCACCCTGAGTACAGCCCACATCAAGCCAGTTCCCCAGGACTGATGACTCTTGTCCCCAGAGATGTTTTTGAGAACTCAACTACTTCTCACCAAGCTGCAGGAACCTGTACTCCTGCATATCTGCAGTGCCAGGCAGCTCTTTTGGAATGCCAGGGCTTCCTCTCAGATCCCAGCAGCCAGCGAGGCAGGACATTCAAGACTGAAGACCACGCTGCAAGTCCAAAGCAAACTGCAGGACGACGAGGAGGATGGTCACCCCCAGGATGAATGAACAGCTGTTCCCCTGTCAGACACCCATCCTGGAGACCATGCTTCACAATTACCACAGGGCAAGGGAACTTCTTAATTAAACATTTTATTTAAACAAATACAAGCACCATGCTTAGCAAAAAAGATTTGGTTTAAAGTAAACATGCAATGTGACCTAGCAGAGACTAAAGAGCATCTGGAAGTTGGACTGGTTATGGAGATTTTCCTGGAATTCTCGAATTCTCAAGACTGGCCGTGAGCCTCTTGCACCTTGTGCTGACCTGAACTCGTGTCTCATCGAGCCCAGGCCACCCAACCCAAGCACAAGGGTCACCAGGCCCTGGCTGGTGTCCCATCACACCCCATCTCACAGCCACCAGATAGGTGTACACAAAGAATACATCGCACAGTCATTTTTGGAGTGCACTAAAGCAGGAGGGGAACTCCCCTACTTGTGTGGTCCACTCAGGCTTCAGTTAACAGCTTAATGTTGTTTCTGGACAAGCTCTTTTGCAATCAAAGACACAAAAATGGAAACCTGGTCCAAAAGCATAAGATGCTCCTTTGGAGAAGTGAAAAGGTGCCAACACCCACATTATTGCCTCCTCTGACAGGTCAAAACAGCGTTCATGATACTAGACACTTAAATCATCAAATACCAGCATTTATTTTTCTTTGTTAAAATATTCATACAATACCAGTCCATGTTATGGGCTGCCATGCAAACTCATGCTTTGATTCACCACCAGTTAACAGGATTACAAGAGCTGTATCCCAGCCATCTAGTCAATATTTAAAGCGAATCAGATTAATTGTGGCAGAAGTCTCCCTCGGAGAGACCTTTAACTCCAAGCCAAGGATTTTATGGCTGACTTACTAACTCCTGAAAAATAGGAGCTCACAGTGGAAAATGCTGACTCTCAGACCCTTAGCTACAAAGGCTCCCACAAAACTTAGAGAGAAATTCAAGACCAATGTATGATCACAGAGGGGAACTCGCTAGTAAGAACATACTGGCCTTCTGAACATGGACACATCAGCCTCCCACCCACCTGAAATGGGAAACAGTCCTGAAAATACAGTTCTGAAGGTAAGGTAGGAAGAGTATGTTATGAAAACAAGGATTATCTGCACAGGAAAGACTTCTGACAGAATTACTGGCTTTGTTTAATCGAGTATTAGCACTACCTGTATCTCAAGCTTAGCACAGTAAGCAGCAGCAGCTGTGTCAAAGTACTGCATTAGAGACAAGGAAACCCCAAAGAAGCCTCCAACAGCAAACATCCTCTGGACACTCATTCTCCAAGTACCTGCAGCTGCTTCCTCACTTCCAGAGCTCCAGGAGGGGAAGGAGCAAGGCTGGCTGAAGACTCGTTCTGGTGGGCTGAGCAGCACCAACATCACCTTTCACAAGAAAGTGGCCTTTAACACTCAGCAGGGTTTGTTTGCTCTCTACAAGACCCAAGGGGCAGCACCCAAGGCAGAAAGTCCTCAAGTGGAGGCACCGAGAACATCCAAAGTGAAAAGAATTCAGACTGAAGAAGTAAGCTGCAAGTAGCAAGCTTCTCGGCAGCAGGTGGAGCGATCCAGAGATGAAGAATCAAACTCAGTGATTTGACTGCAGCAGCTCCTCCCTCCTGAGAGACAGACAGGCTGTCTCCCAGTCCCTCTGCAGCAGCTGGCTGCTGGCAGCCCCATGACAGAGACCACTCATCCAGTTCTCCCCACAGCAGGCCAGGGTGGACGCCAGAGCAGCAGCTTCCCTCTGGCCACGCTGCACTGACGTGACTTCAGCACAAGGCCAGCGCAACCAGAGCCTGGCTGCTCCAAGCCCAGTGCTTAGAACGACACTCTTCTTTAAGCCAAAGCCTTGTTTATACAATGTTTGTCACAAAAGACAGTTTTTATTCATCCATAGTACAGAATGATCAAGCAACCGTTTCATCATCAACTTTTTTGTCCAGGGGAATGAAATTGTTTTTCCAGTTCACTACATTAACAGATTTAATTACAAGCATTTCTTTCCCGCACTGACAGATCAATTTAATTGGATCCTTCTAACACATATTTTGAAAAGCTCCTCTCAAGTCAGATTTGCACACCAATAAATGAAAGTAACATAAAAATTAAGAAGAGATTTACTGACACTGAGGACCTTTGCAAACGAATTCCTTGTCACCTTAGTGTTAAAACACCAATTCCTCCAACCCATCGTACGTTTACAAAGGAAAGATAAACCTTCTTTCAGCAAAGGTTTCACAGCATGAAATACTGGCCTCCAAATTTAACACTCCATTCCTCAATGATCAGATTTGCTAGGGCAGCTGTGTTTTAAGGTATGTTATCAAAAAAAAAAAGCTGCTCTTAGGCAGATACTTGTTCAGTAGCACAACAAACACAAGCAGGACAGCGAGATGCTCTCACATGACAACTCCTTTTGCCACCGTGTGGGCCAAGTGTGCCCCATGACTGACAACTACTCTATTCGATAGAAAACAGACCTGTAAAAAGACTGGTCATTTACAAAAGTTAAATACTATTCTCACATTAGAATATTTGCTGTTTCAAAGAGATGAATCGTCAAGTAAATGAAAAATCAAATCATTACTTATGCAAAAGCTTTATCTGGAATGTAATTCTGACCAACAGATAGTTAAGAAAGTTAAGAGACTGTAATTAAAGTACTCAAAAGCTATGAGTGGCCAACTCTTGTAACAAAAGAGATATAAATCATAGTCATGAAAAGCTTTTTAGCCTCCTGACTCCTGCAAAGGGAGCAGATGAATGGAATTTCAAAGAAAATGAGGTTAGCTTTTTTTTTTTTTAAACAGATGTCAACTGCAACACTAGGCACTAGGAAAAAATGGTACTTGGATTCTTTCACAAAGTTTTTACCAAATTCGTAGTAAGTGGCAGTGTAAAATTCTCAAGTCATTTTAAAGCTAACAAATGAAAGGCACGCAGTATTAACAGGTGTTCAGGTAACAGGAAAGGAGCAAAGAGGTAACTCCTGAACAGTGTGGCAAGTTGTAGATGCAAGATGTTGGATAGGAGAGGAACTGGAGTTGTAATTCAGCCCTTAGTTATCCCCTAGTTCCTGCAGCGTGAGAACTGGACAGTCAAAGCTTTGCCCTGAAATTTAGTAAGCCTGACTCAGTCAACAGAGAAATCACTGGAATGACAAAAATTAGTTGCAACAATTTGAAAGAGTTCACATGGACTTGATGGAAAGATAAATAGATGGATTTGCTGTACAAGGGTTTTGTCGTCCTAATACTAAATGCTTCCAGGGAGTAGTTTCCAAAACTGAGAAGACATGAAATGCAGAAGTCTGACAAGTGAGGGTACACAATTCCTGCATGTCAATGGCTAGCATGTGTCACAAGGAGGCATCTGTAGCTCAGAAAGAGTTAGCGTCAGCTTCCAAATTACCTTCAGAGAGAGTTACAAATCCAGAACTGAACTATTTTATAGAAATATTAGTCACAAGAGTGCAAAAGGAGTCCCTGCAGAGGAGTATTCCCCTTTAACAGGTACAAATAAGGAAACACCTGCAAAGATTTGTTACTTCGAGGAGACAGACCTGCTGTTCTTGATGCAGGCTTTGCACAAGACACTGCAGGAGAGAGCTGTAAATACAGTGCATTTCTCAGACCCAAGTATTCATGTCTGGTTCCAGTATCATCAGGAGGTACATAAATACTTAGCACAGAGGTTTTCTTAGTGGAAGAAGCCCAGTTTCTCACGCAGCCAGTCTTCAGTTAGGTCTTCTGTATTTCTTATCTCAAATACCTAAACAAAATAGCACAGAGCCTTGAGGTGATGGTACTTGAAAGGGGTAAGCACACAATGCAATCAAAACCTCCCACACAAGCCCTCTGAGGTGTAACAAACCAGGAGCCGACCCACAATTTGCATGTGCCTTCTTGAAAGGATCAGTTTGTAGTCTTAAGCAACATGAGTGGAAAATACACAAGACCACAAGGTGAGGAATATTACTAACTTGAACAAGAACCCCATAATTTCTATTTCTAGACTTCATTCTTCTCCTTTAAGACTATGTGAGAAGGGCAGGTGCACCGCATTTTAAAGTTACTCTGAAATGGCACCACCTCGCATGCAGTATCTCAGCAAGATTGTCTATTTGAAGACTACAAATGAATTTAATCTCTGGGCTCAATTACAGCCAAAGTTCAGGAATCTTGGCTCAGCTCAAAACACAGTTATTCCTTCCCTGAACTGATGCAAATCCATATTATCCAGTAACATACTCTTTGCCCTCTAAGAAACAACCCTGGGATACCTCAGAATAGAAAACTTGGGAAAAAACAACAACAACAAAACAAAACAAAAAAATCCACCAACCCAAAGCTCTGCTGAAATCTTAAACATTTAACATAGCCTTGAAGCAGTAAACAAGACTCAAACCACCAATATAGTCTTTACAGACCATATGGGCACATAACTGGTTTGGGGTTTGGTCTTTCTATTTAAATAGCCTTGAAAAGAGGCTAATTCTGCATTTCTAAGTGGAGCCTTCGAGATCCCCACAGACAGATGATCTTTTCAGAAGATTCAAGTAATTTTACAAATCCAGAGGCCTTCAAAAGTCTTCTAGGCAATGAAAACAAGAAAAGTATTTTAACTAGAGACGGCTGTTACTATTCTCGCAACACTGAAAATAAAGCTATGCCAGCACTAAATCAGGTATCTGTCCCCCCCAGGGCACTGAGGACAGCTGCAAAAAGCCCATTCAGGCCAGCAGAATGGTTGGGACTTTGTAAGACTCACACAACAAGGCTCTCAGCGAACCTGCTGTTTGGACTGAACTTCCTACTTAGGCCTGTCCTCAGCTGTTTCACCATTTTAATCTTCTTCAGGAAATAATTCAAGTTTTGTATCTGTTCTTCCTCATATCCCATTGCTGCTGGAGTGGGCTCTGGACACTGCTTCTTGTATTTAGACAGCAATCCACTACTATCAGCTAATAGCTATTTTTTTTTTTTCCTAAGTAAACATAGGGGGAAATCCCAAAATTCAGTTAGAACATATCATCTCAACAGAAGCCAAGCTAATACACAAGCCACTGAAAAAACAGAGGACTCTGTTGAGTCATGTGCAGAAATCAGGACATGAGGAAGTCACAGCATGAGCTAAAATGAAACCTAGCTCAGCGAGTGGCAAGAATAAAGCTCATCTGAAGAGCAAATAAGCAACCCAAACTGCAGACAGGCTATCTTCTCCAGCCTCAGATGATCATGGACCTCTGTATCCATTCCTAGGCCTTCATCCAAAAGCCTTTCAGGCTGAACTTTCCCCACTTGACTGGTGGCAGTAACTCCAATACAGCCAGGCCTGAGGCTTTCACCTTTGTCTCACCAGCTCTTTCTCACTCACCAAAAACTGCCTTGTGCCTTTCTCCCAAGGGACTCCTAGGACAGTAGAGCACCCAGGCCTCTAAGATGCAGTTTCAACAGACCTAAAAAAAACATTTCTCAAGAGCTGTACTGATTGCTTCCACCATCTTATCTGGTTCCCTCCCATTTACTCCTCTCAGCTTGGTGACTAATTTAAAACCGAAAGGTCCTTCCTTGCGAGGTACAGCTAGGAGAGGGAGAAGTTCACAGTTCTCTGGTGGCCCAGCTTGAGTTTTACTGGGATGTTAAAGTGCTCTGCCAGGGTAAGGAATATCAAAAGGGAGCAGAGCTTTTGGGTGATGGTGAAATCATTTCACACTGCATGAAAAACCTGAAGTGCCCACAGACTCCATTTACCTTTACTGGTGGAAACTAAAACTTCAAAATATGTAGATGCCAGCTGAGCAGCAGAGATTTCAAAGATCTCCAAAACTACAACTAAGTGGCTTTTCATTTAAAAATAATAAAATATATATATATACACCTAGTCCTAGTGAATGCAGTGATTTCTTCTGGTGTCAGTACTGGAGGAAGGAAACACAGGAAGATTTGGAATTGCTCAGCACTTGGCACATATATCTCTTGTTCTGAAGGCAATGTTCTCCAAGTGTACACCACCACAAACCATGCAGCAAAACAAGTCTGTACCACAGTACATTAAACCTTCAGCCTGCTCTTCCCACCAATAAATTCATTCCCTGCAGTAAAGGCATCCATCCTGCTGACTGATATTTTAGAGAACACTGTTCTTCCTGTGCCCTAAAACTCCAGAAATCCCCACACATACTCCTCTTTTCAGTCTTCCCAAACAAGAACTGTTCACTGTGATGACAAAGTCTCCTAATGCCCTTCTTGCCAGAGTTCAGGCAAGACACAAACCAGCTTCTGCAACCTGCATTTAAGGGGGAAGTTATTTCAACTGCTGCTATACCTTCGTGAGCTCAGCTGTCTGTACAAGCTTGTTCTTGCTTCCAGCATACATCATCTGCTGTTCAGGCTTACATCCTGTAGTTGTGTGGAGAAAAAAAAAAGGCTTGTTTAGTTATTTTGACCACAAAGCTTCAAAAATAAGATTTTTATACTTTTTAAAATAATCCAAACTGAAAGCTGAAGTTTCCCTTCAGAAAAGTGACCTATTGCTTTATATACATTATCAGCCTTGCTCTTACTTTCCCATCTAGCAGGAGAAAAGCATTTCCAGAAGTAACAGTTGTGCAGGCTGAACTGGAGGTCTCGACAGGCAGCTGTATTGGTGCTTAGAGCTGACTTCAAATATTTCACACCCAAATGACAGCAGGCAGCAGAGCAGAACCTCCCAGCACTCCAGCACCACACTGATCATACTAATTCTCCTCCCTCTTTCCATTATCTGCAAGATCCCCATGTTTTTTCCAGTTACACCTACACAGATCTTTACAGCATCCGCCTTTGAGCTGGAGTCAAACTATGACCAAACCAAGTCAGGTTGAATTTGTTCTTTCTCTCCCAAAATACCCTAACTGGACTGGTAGCTCAAAATTACCCACACCCCAAACCCAGAGCAGCTTCAGTCACAGCTGAAGTTAACTGCTGTTCAGAACCCCAGCTAATGGCTCATTGCTTCCTACTCCAGCAGCAGTCTGACCACTAACTCATGTTTGCAGAAAAATTTTTGAAAGGGAAACCTTCAAAAAAAAAAAAAAAGCTTTTATTTAGAAGTTGCTTGGTCAGAAGTTTCCAGATACATGTGTGCTTTTAGATCTTGCCGTCCATGAAGAACATTGTCTGAGCTCTTTTCCTAGGAAAAGTCTGCCTGTTTTGCTCTTTCAAGGTCTCCCAGGAGGTTTCTTACTGCTCTTTTAACTTACAAGATATTTATGCTTGAGAAGTAACACCCAGAACGTTCATGCAAAGATTCTCAGGTAACCAGAGGACATGCTTACTAGTTGTACCTAACTAGTTACTCTGAGTAGCAAAGGGTAAAACAATACAATCAGTTTATCTTCTCCTGGAGGATAACAAGGATAATCCAACATTACCAGCAAGCTCCCCTGTTAATAGTCCACAACACAGACAGAAGCCACAGGACCAATTCAGCTCTGCAAGTCCAAATCAAGTCACAGGTTATTTGGCTTGTTCTAAAAACCACACAGCTCCCTGTGCAGGTATGTTTATGTTGAGGGTTCCTGTGACAAGCAGAGGAAGCTACCGCTCCATCTAAATCTATCTTGGGATGGCCCAAGATTAGTCTCCCTCCTGGAACATCATCTGTCCACCAGTATGTTCACCTGCCCAGAGCTGGGTTACAGAGCCCTCTTTTCCTCCTTTTCACCCATAGCTGTGACAGCCCTTTAAACCTTCACATCACAGCCCTGCATGGAGGCATCCTCTGCTGCTGCCCACTGCATAGATGCCCCTGGACAACTCTCCTCTCGATTCCCATCCTAACCATTTGAGCATTACAGACTCATTTTATCTTCCACAGAAAAGAACATCCCCATATTTACAGCATATAGTAGCTACTGTGCACAACATTCACTCACCAACTGGACTGGAGAAGATAAAGCACAATGGATAAGAAACTCTTCCATCATCATGCTGATACTTGTAACTATACACAATAAATGTTTTTTCTGAGGTTAAAGAAACTAAGAAATCAATGACTTCATTAGGATATAATCCTGTTATCTGAGCTTGATGCAAGCACAAATAAATCTGGATTCTAGGAAATGCTTTTTCTGGTAAATAGTTTGACTGTTGTTTTCACTTCCACATTTGACTTTCAGAACTGACCCCACCTGTCTCTGCCAGCCTCGGCCAGGGTTGGGTATTACTGTTTCACATCAGAGCTAAAAAACACCCTTTCAGCACAGTTATTCCTCTCCCAGCTCTCTAAGAGGACTCCCCACACCTACCAATGTGTTTTGGGCTTAATGAAAGGCAAATTCTTTCTTTGCAGACTAAGCACTTCATTGTTTCAGGTGTAGTGCTGAATTTGAACTCAGCCAGGACTCCTGCTTCAGAGCCTCCTACTGCACTACAGTTGTGAAAGGAAAGCTTCAAGGTGGCACGTGGAGGAGTGCCAGCCAGCTTTGGAGGATCAAGGAGGCAGATATTTTCCTCACTTATAACTTCAGTACCCCTCTAACTTCATCGAGTGAAGGAATAATTTACTTGTCCCTCTTTTTTCCTTGTCTAAATACAGGGGTTTTTGCCTAGATCACATGCTGACAGCACTCCCAAAATCAGGAACTGCAGCAAAACAAAGGCCCCACACTGAGAAAGTACCAAAACAGGCACTTTTCTATGTTTAGAAGCAGCCACATACAAAACTGGCACATTTTACACAATTCTTTACATTACCAGCAGCACGGCTTCACTTTACTTCCCCAAATATTATATAGTCTAAAAGGCAAAACACTCAGGAAAGGCTTAAATGCATCAGTCATTGTTTCAACAAGTGTTCAGCACATCATGAGAACTGGTCCCTGTGTTATCTCACAACTAAACCACCAACCAAGTCACACTACAGGCAAATATTGGCCTAAAAAGGTGAAGTCCAGCTCTGAGCATTTTGGGCAGGTTCCAGGAGGGGCTGAGACCAAATGCCAGAAGTGCAGGAAGGATATCGAGGTTGTCTCTCGGGCAGCTCATCTTTTAGCTCATCGGGAGAAATGCCCTGGGAACATGGAACAGAAGCAGTATTTGAACAAACCATCTGGCACCTGAGGGTGTGTTATGCAGCTAAAGCAGAGTAAGAGGACAGGGAAAG